ATGATTCCCAGTATTGTATACTTGTGTACCATTTTCAAATCTGATGTGATTTCCTTATGTGTTGTAAATTCAATCACTATGATCTAATAAGACGGATTAGTGGCAGCTATACTGATGAGGTCTACAAGATTGGATAGTGTCTTAAGCCAATCTGTTCTGAGATATAAAAGAGAGAAGCAAGCAGAGACACATGGGAACCTCACACCACCAAGAAACCAGTGCCAGGAGCAGAGTGCGTCCCTTGGACCTGAGGTTCCTGTGCAGAGAAGCTCCCAGACCAAGGGAAAACTGATGTATCACAAGGACCTTTCTCCAGAGCCGACAGAGAGAGAAAGACTTCCCCTGGAGCTGATGCCCTGATTTTGGACTGTGAGAGAATAAATTTCTCTTTGTTAAAGCCATCCACTTGTGGTATCTTAGTTATAGCAGCACTAGATGACTAAGACACAAAGGTAAAATAAGAATCACTTCAGATGAACACATCATCCATTGTTGGTTTTCATGGCTTTGCCTGGGTAAGAAAAAAGTGGAAAATAAGATGCCCAGGAAAGATATAGATGTGCGAGGAAACTTTGGACTGTAGGAAATCAGCTGTAAATCTCTGACATGAAAGAGAAAGTGGAAGAGGGTTTAAACATGAAAAACAGAGGGCTACAGAGTTACTGGGAGCCCTGGCTCGTGCTGCAGTGGTTAAGAGCTACAGCCACTAACCAAAAGGTCGGCAGTTTGAATCCACCAGCCGCCCCATGGAGACCCTATAGGGCAGTTCTACTCTGTCCTATAGAGTTGCTATGAATTGGAATCGACTCAATGGTAACATATTTGATTTTCTAGTAGAGAGTTACTGAGACGCCCTGGTTGCACAGTGGTTACGCACTCAGGTGCTAACTGAAATGTTGACTGTTTGAACCTACCAGCCGCTCTGCAGGAGAAAGATGTGGCAGTCTGCTTCTGTAAAGATTCTAAAACCAAACCTGTTGTCCTCTAGTAGATTCCGACTCATAGGGACTCTATAGGACAGCACAGAACTGTCCTGTACATTTCTAAGGCTGTAAATCTTTTACAAATCTGTCTTGGAAGAAGTACAGCCAGAATGCTCCTGAGAAGCAAAGATGGTGAGACTTTGTCTCACGTACTTTGGACATGTTATCACGAGGGATCAGTCCCTCGAGAAAGACATCACTGGTAAAGCAGACGGTCAGTGAAAGTGAGGAAGACCCCCAACGAGATGGATTGACACAGTGGCTGCAACAATGGGCTCAAGCATAACAACGATTGTGAGGATGGCGCAGCACCAGGCAGTGTTTCATTCTGTTGTACATAGGGTCGCTATGAATCAGCACCATTCTATGGCACCTAACCACAAACAATCTTTACAGAAGCAGACTGCCACATTGTTTTCCCGTGGAGCAGCTGGTGGGTTGGAACCACAGACATTTTGGTAAGCAGCCAAGCATTTATCCACTGCACCACCAAGACTCCTTTAGAAACCCTATGGGGCGCTTCTACTCTGTCCTATAGAGTTGCTATGAGTCAGAATCCATTCGACGGCAATGGGTTTGATTTGGTTTGGCTTATAGAGTTACTGGGTGCAGTTAACAAACTTGGCTGCTAACTGAAAACTTGGAGGTTCGAGTCCACCCAGAGATGCTTCAGAAGAATGCTTCCATAGAGATTTACAGCCTCAGAAACCCTATGGGGTTGCTATGAGTGGGGATCGACTCGTTGGCAGTAGGTTTGGTTTGGTTTGGTTTATAGACTTATTGGGTGCAAACAGTTTGGCTGCTAACTGAAAAGTTGGAGGTTCGCGTCTACCCAGAGGCACTTCAGAAGAATGGCTTAGCAATCTACTACCGAAAAATCAGCCACTGAAAACCCTATGGAACATAGTTCTACTCTGACACACATAGGGTCACCAAGAGTCAGTATTAACTCATCGGGAACTAGCTTAACTGGTTTATAGGAAACTAAATATTTCACAATTTCTTCTTGGGTCATGAGAGTGACTGAAAAACCATCTCTCCTGCTGCCTTTTGGTCTTTGGGCTGTGGGTCACCAGCTTAGGGGAGTAAGCGTGAAAGGCGCAAACCTCAGTTCCATCTTGCTAAATTTCTCCCTTCAGGCTAGTTCGGTCTTTTTGTATTAGACTTAAGCGGTGAGTGCTTGCATCTACTCAACAACTCAGAGGGAACTCTGCCCCCTGGTGGACTGTTCAAGAGTGGGTTTTGATGGGCTGAGTCACCCATCATACCCTCCATCTATGGGGATTTAAATGTGTAAAATTGCAGCTATACGAGTTTAGGAGGAAAAATAAAGCAATCTGCAGACTTTAGCACTAGCACACATGATGTTTTGTTTGTGTTGTTAAAAATGTGGTCTGACAACAGCTAAACAGGAATCAAAAAATTATAAATCTGCAGAAAACAAACAATCATAGGTGTTGGTTCTCAGTTTACTTCTCCCCATCTCCCAAGTGGCCCTCAGTTTTTCTATGCTACAGTTACCCCATATGCACTAAAGATGTAATGGGAAATAATACCTAAGTGGAACTACCATCTGTTGAGAGCCAAAAATGCATCAGGCATCTTGATGAGTGCTTTACATGTATAGGTTCTAATCTTTTCCAACAACTGCAATAGGCTGCATTTGGGAGGGAGAACCACAAAGCTACAACATGCTCTACTTGCACTTCAAACCTAGGACTCTCTGATTCCGAAAACCATCTTTCTACCTACTTCACTGGTGTTCAGATAAGTCAGTCTCTTCTTGGCGGATCTCCCCAAACTTGTTCTTAACCCAACTCTTTTTTCTTTCTTCTGTATTTTAAGTACCACACAGTATCTTGGAATATCACTACCCATCCTAGGGTTTAAATGTTCCCTCTAAGAATGCTAATCTGATAAACTCTTGTGATTGTGGACCTGGTTTACCCTTTTTGCAAGGTGTGAGAACACAATGTTTCCTTCAAAATTCCTCCTACAGATATAAATTAAATACTCCAAATCGTGGCAGTATGTGCCAGTCTTCTACAGTATCATTTATCATCAATTATTCTCTTATGATGGCTTAAACTCCTGATCACAGCCCAAGCCCACTGAATGAATCTTCCCATAAATAGAATTACTATCCAATGCTTTTTAGAACACAAAAGGACTTTTATTTCATTATTTTCCTAAATTTAATTTCCAGTTACACATTTGTTGAAAGGTGGAATACCAAGGCAATTTTCAGTCACAGCAACTCCATCAAATACACATAATTTGAGATTTTACTACTTGAGTGAATTATAGTTCTGTCAGGGTTTCCTGATTAAAGAAAACAAAATTAAGATAATAGAGAGGAAAAGTGAAGAACGTTGTTCTACAGGACATCTGTTGAATTCAAATAACCATTCATTTATGGGTGCAGTGTCCATTTTGAAAAGGAAACTCTAAAATTCCTAGAAACACAAGACAATATTGGTATTTTTAGATGAATATACATTCATATATTTGTGTGAAAATTTGTGCTATTAAACAACATGGAAAATGGTATTTGTTGTCACAGCCAATGAAAATATATTTTCATTTCTGTTGAAGTTAAGCATGTCCATCTCCCATTTTATGTTCTGCAAAAAAGCCATGTGTCTAGTTTATGAAACAAACTATGCTATAGGCAGCAGTAACTGAAAAGGAGCCTAACAGTCTTAACTATATACCCCTGGGATGAATAATACACTTTGCATAATCATGTGCAATGTTGGAGGATGATTCTAGCTCTCTTATAACTATAAGGTTTTGCAAGCTTCTATTTCACACAATATGCCCCCAAATCCAGTCAATTCAGCCAAAGAGCCAAGCAAAAATTTATATGGGTAATCTACAAAATGGCAAACAACTCCTGTGACTAAACTGTTTTGCTAAGAAGAGGACACAATCATTCTAGGTGCCCTATAAGGAAATCATCTGTAACTGGCTATCTGTTTTGATTAACTTTTTCCTCTCAGGTTCCTAGAAGTTGAATTAATTGCCTCTTAGACCTAAAGAAAACACAGTTGCATAAACAAAAGACAAATGTATTAAAAACTTAACAAATACCGTGCTCTATGCACATTCCTATCAGCAGCAAGCTAGATTTCTCCATAGGAGAAGTGCCACAAATAACAAACAAAGAAACTTGGGGATCCAGCTGAAACACAGGATTAGCTAATGCTTAAAATTTTATCTTACTCCAGTAACAGGTATAAATGGTGATCAAAATTCCCTTTTTTACCTAGCTTACATATGAAACTTTGAATAGTATATTTTCAAGAGTCATTACCCTAGAGTGGAGTTCTGCACAGTAGGCAGACAGTGTACTTCAACTTAATACATCCATTGTCTGACAATCTGGACTGGGAGCTTCAAGAAGGGAGTGACTCCATTTTACAAAGACAACTTGCTTCTACAGACAAAAGGTATCAACTGCAAAAAGCCACTCTGAAGAATGGAGTGAATCTTCTTTGGCATATTAATAAATGCTCTCCATAGACATTTTTTTTCCTGTGCAGATGATCCTTCACGGCTACTCCTTTTTATTTAGATAATGCATTTTTTCATCTTGTAATGTAATCTTGCCCTGTATTGTGGAGTCCTCAGAGTAAATTTGAGATAACAACTAAGTCTTGTGGAAATTTGAAAAGGCAGGAAAATTTAAAGTATTCTAGATATTATACTCTTGAGGTTTCAAGTCAGTGACAAATTTCCAAGGTGCAAAGTCTTGACAAGTTTTCTTGCCTAAGATTGCCTAGTCTCAGGTTTGGTCCCATGAGTTACAAAGAAAACAGGCTCAATTTTAGCTTCCCTGCGCTTTTCTAAAGTTCTGGCATTGTCATTTTGTAGTAATCTTTGTTCCTGCCCCAACTTCAATAGCAAGGGAGCCAAAACAAGTGTTTTACTTTATTTTGTTTTTCCTCTAGTATAGTTCTTAGGGCTTTGACTACATTTTAAAGATTTCTGAAGAAGAGAGCCAGTTCTCTTAGTTACTTTATATTTTAGCACACAAAGGAATTACAGATGGAAAGGAGAGTGCAAATGACAATCAGAAAAAAGCCTCATGCATTTTAAGATTTTTTACAAGTCAAAATATACATTCTCCTATTGCCCTCCATTCTTTAATCATGTAAGAACCCTTCCTATATCGTCAGTCTCCTTGACAGCTCACTGAATTGTTTAAGGAATAAAGACACTCTTCTTATTAAGGAGCAGTATTTATCTAGTATTAATCAATTTAAATGATTGCATCAATACGAAATACACTAGCTGTTTGGGCTGAGTCACCCATCATACCCTCCATCTATGGGGATTTAAATGTGTAAAATTGCAGGTATACGAGTTTAGGAGGAAAAATAAAGCAATCTGCAGACTTTGGCACTAGCACACATGATGTTTTGTTTGTGTTGTTAAAAATGTGGTCTGACAACAGCTAAACAGGAATCAAAAAATTATAAATCTGCAGAAAACAAACAATCATAGGTGTTGGTTCTCAGTTTACTTCTCCCCATCTCCCATTCCCACCCACCTCCATTTAGTGTCAATTGTAATAAACATAGAAATTTTAGCATCAGGATTTTTCTGGTAACTCTTCCAAGGTTTCTCTGCGCCATCCACATCACACTTAAGGTTTGAAGCACCAAATCCACAAGTTTCTCCAACCAAGTTTAAATGAACAAAAACTGAAGACTGAAGGATGCCAAAGTAACTGTTCTTAAATGAAGCTGTAACACAAAGTTCTCCCCAAAACACTGGGTATTAAACATCTAGTTCAAGTACTGCCAGGCTATATGTAGATCTGTCTCAGACAGGCTTCAGACAACTATTATGTACTGCTGGTTCTGGAGGGCATCATCCATGATACCAAAGCAGGGCAAAGATCACTTTTCCATCAACTTAAAAAAAAAAAAAGGTGCAACCTCCCTTCTGATTGGTTGCCTTAGGGTCATTGCTGAGTCTGGGGGCCTGGGGGAGGCAGTGAGCTTCCTCCTTAGCAGGGAAGCGCTACTTTTAGTTTGAACAGTTCTCCTTTTAGTGCTCTCTCTGGTCTGTCCTGGCTTCTCAGGATCCATTGCCCTTGCCCAGGAGAGCCTCATTCTGACCCAGTAACAGTGAAAGAAGAGTCGACCTACCTGTGGAACCAGACTCAAATTGGTACCCAAAGGCCACTTAGGCGACCCCACTGCAAATGACTAGTCAACTTGTACACTTAAAGCGGGTCAGTTTATGGAACGCTTGTTTGAAGTCCTCATTGGACATGGTATAGATGATGGGGTTGATGAGGGAGTTGAGATAACCCAGCCACGTGAAGAAGTCAAAGATGGACAGGTGGAACCAGCAGGCATCCTGGCAAATAGGCATCACCAAAGAGATGATGAAGAAGGGCAGCCAACACACAATAAACGCTCCCAAAATGATCCCCAGGGTCTTGGTCGCTTTGCGCTCCCTAGCGGCCATGAGTTTCTTCTTTTCGAGCAGGGCGTCGGAGATTCGCACTTTGACTTGGTTCACGTACACAGGAGACCCGGATTCGCTGGGCACGTCGGGAGCCCGCGAGTTAATGGAGGTAACCGAGGATGTGGACCCGGGGGAGTCGGTTATCAGTTGGGCTCGAGTTAGGCGCTTGCCGGTCCTGTTGGGCGTCTGTTTCAAAATCCGGGAGCGGGCTTCCACATAGATGCGGCCATAGAGGGCGATGAGGAGCAGGGTGGGAAAGTAGAAAGCGCCCACGGTGGAGTAGACCGTGTAGAGAACGTGGTCTTTGTTCACCACGCAGTCCGACACCTCCTCCTCGGCTTTGGCCTGGCGCCAGAAGAAGGGTGGCAGAGAGATGGAGATGGAGAAGATCCAGACCAGCACGATCATGACTGCCGCTCTCTTGGGAGTCCTTTTGGCTGAGTACTCCACGGCGTCTGTGATGGCCCAGTAGCGGTCCAGGGCGATGACACAGAGGTGCAGGATGGAAGCAGTGCAACAAGTGATGTCCGACGACAGCCAGAAGTCGCAGACCACCTGGCCCAGCGTCCAGCGTCCGGTGACAGTGTACATGGTGCTGATAGGCATCACCAGGATGGACACGAGCAGGTCGGTGACTGCCAAGGAGGCGATCAGGTAGTTGGCCGGGGTGTGCAGCTTCCGGGTCCGGTACACAGTGGCGATCACGAAGGCATTGGAGAGCGTGGTGGCCAAGGTGAACAGTGACAGGAGGATGACCAGCAGCACTTTCCAGGGCAAGGCCATGTAGTCCTGGTAAATGTAGTCTTCGGCGCTGCAGTTGGGGGAGCGAGCAGCGGAGAGGTTGGCTTGCGGAACCTCGGCCAGGGAGCCCGCAGGCGGCGGTGGGGCGCATTGAGTGCCTGGCTCCTCCATGGCTCTTCTCGCCCTGGCTCCAAAGCGCAGCTCTTGGGCATGGAGCGGACGAGAGAGAGGGCAGAAGGACCGCGTAGGAGACCACAGGCTTGTCCTCCGTTGCTAGTCAGTTCGTGGGTTTCTTAATTACTCCTCCGCCCAGGTCCCCAGCTGGAAGTAGAGGTCAAGGGCGCGGCAGCCGAGTCCGGCAGACGTGTCCCCTGTACTTCCCATGCGCCTGGCGCTGTCGCCGCGTCTCTGGCCGTTCCTTTCCACGCCCCGTCTTAGCCCCGGGTTGTTAAGGAGTGGCCCTTCGAGCCCCTCTCCGCTCTAACTCCCACGGAAGCGTCTAACAATCGGTGGGGGTTACAGTATTTGGGAAGGGGGCTTCGGCCAAGTAGGGTCTCTTACCCCAATTGCGCGTGGCTGAGCGTCTCCTTACCCGGGCGCTCCCGGATCTGCAGACTTGGCCCGCAGGAGTTTCCTAGCTGTCGAGACCAAAGCTTGCCGGCCAGCAAAGAATCAGAGTCTTGCATTCCGGCCCCCCACCCCACGCTGGGGCAGTTTTCTGCGGCGGCTGAGGCCGTTTGAGCTGGGTGGGGTGAAGTCTGAGAGCCGCGCCGCATCGCACCGCGCGGCGCTTGGGCTCGCGTCGCGCCAGAGCTCTGGTCTCCCTCGTTTTTCACGCGCTGGCCACCCTGGTAAGCTGCCCCGTGGAGACAGGGCCGCAAGAGGGGGTAGTCGAGGTCTGGGGCTGCGGCTTCTCGGGCGGTGCCGCCGCCACCGCCACCGCCAGCTCGGCTACAAGGACGCCGCTCAGAGCCATACCGCTGGGCGCGCGGGTCTGGGGGACCTGGCGCGGCGCGCAAGGAGAGTGCAGGTGTCTGTGGGAGCTGGAAGGACGCGGCGTGCTCCAGCCCGGGAGGAGCGTGTGAGCCGCGGCGCAGACTGGCTCCTTTTATAGAGTCCCGTTCCAGTCCGCCAGAGCCGTGCAACTCGTGCTGCGAGGCGAGTGCGGACGCCGGCTCCCCAGCACCTTCTCATTTTCTTTCTCCCTCCCTCCTTTTCTCCCGCCCTGTTACCTCCCCGGCCAAGGACGCTCCGCCGGGTCCTACTGCCCTCTTACCCACTTCCAATCCCCTGGCCCCTCTTCCGACCCTGGCACGCCGGCGCTAGCTTTTGCTCGGTTTAGAGCTTACTGCGCGCCCTGCCAGTCAGACACACGCCCTCAATCGCCGTCAAGGGCACAGTCCTTGAGTCGCTTCCTAGGCTACTGCCTCCAACACCACCCTCC